CCCACTCACCCACCCTCCCACTCACCACCATTCACAAGCACCTCACCCTCCCACTCACCCTCTCACTCACGCTCTCACTCACTCACCCTCTCACTCACACACACTCTCACTCACTCACTCACCCTCCCACTCACGCTCTCACTCACTCACCCTCTCACTCACACACCCTCTCACTCACCCTCCCACTCACCCACCCTCTCACTCACCCACCCACCCTCCCTCTCACCCACTCACCCTCACCCACCCTCTCACCCACTCACCCTCCCTCTCACCCACTCACTCACCCTCCCATTCACCCACCCTCTCACTCACTCCTCTCACCCATCCTGTCACCCTCCCACTCACCCACCCTCTCACCCACTCACACTCCCACCAACTCACCCACTCACCCACCCACTCACCCGTCCTACTCACCCTCCCTCTCAACCACCCTCTCACCCACCCACCGCACTCTCCACCTCACCACTCTCCACCCCACCACTCTCCACATCACCACCCCACCACCCTCCACCCTCCACTCTCTCCACCCCACCACTCTCTCCACCCCACCACCCTCCTACCTCGCCACCCCACCACCCTCCACCGCACCACCCTCCACCCCACCACCCTCCACTCTCTCCACCCCACCACCCTCCACCCCACCACCCGCCACCCCACCACTCTCCACCCCTCCACTCTCTCCACCCCACCACCCTCCACTCTCTCCACCCCACCACCCTCCACCCCACCACTCTCCACCCCACCACTTTCCACCCCACCACCCTCCACCCCTCCACTCTCCACCCCACCACCCTCCACCCCACCACTCTCCACCCCACCACTCTCCACCCCACCACCCTCCACCCCACCACTCTCCACCCCACCACTCTCCACCCCACCACCCTCCACCCCACCACTCTCCACCCCACCACCCTCCACCCTCGCCACCCCACCACCCTCCACCGCACCACCCTCCACCCCACCACTCTCCACCCCACCACTCTCTCCACCCCACCACCCTCCACCCTCGCCACCCCACCACCCTCCACCGCACCACCCGCCACCCCACCACTCTCCACCCCACCACTCTCCACCCCTCCACTCTCTCCACCCCACCACCCTCCACTCTCTCCACCCTACCACCCTCCACCCCACCACTCTCCACCCCACCACTTTCCACCCCACCACCCTCCACCCCTCCACTCTCCACCCCACCACCCTCCACCCCACCACTCTCCACCCCACCACTCTCCACCCCACCACCCTCCACCCCCACCACTCTCTCCACCCCACCACTCTCTCCACCCCACCACTCTCCACCCCACCACTCTCCACTCCACCACTCTCTCCACCCCACCACTCTCCACTCCACCACTTTCCACCCCACCACTCTCCACTCCACCCCACCACTCTCTACCCCACCACCCTCCACTCCACCGCTCTCTCTACCCCACCACTCTCTCCACCAGACTCTCCACGCCAACGTACTCTCCACTCCTCAATAAGTGTGGGTTGAATGAGCGGATCAATGGGTGAGTGAAGGAGTGAATGAGGGATTGGTTGAATGAACAAATGCGTGGGTGAGTGAGTGAATGAGTGAGTGAATGAGTGAGCGGATGCGTGGGTGAGTGAAGGAGTGAGTGGTTGGTTGAGTGAGTGATTGTTTGAGTGAGTGGTTGTGAGTGAATTAGTGATTGGTTGAGTGAATGAGTGAGTGAATGATTGTTTGAGTGAGTGGTTGAGTGAGTGAATTCGTTGATTGGTTGAGTGAGTGAATGAGTGATTGGTTGAGTGAGTGAATGAGTGATTGGTCGAGTGAGTGAGTGGTTGAGTGAGTGATTGGTTGAGTGAGTGATGATTGAATGAGTGATTGAGTAAGTGAATGAGTGATTGGTTGAGTGAGTGAATGAGTGATTGGTTGAGTAAGTGAATGATTGGTTGGTTGAGTGAGTTAAAGATGATTGGTTGAGTGATTGGTTGAGTAAGTGAATGATTGGTTGAGTGAATGAGTGTCGCTGTTGTGTCCTGTATCGTGGGTTGGGTTCGAGTTGTTAGCGGGTCAGACGAGACGAAACGGTAACCATGGTCGCAGCAGCAGCAGCGCTAGAAGAGCGACACGGAGACGCTGCACCATCACCGTTATCACCAAGCCCGACTTAATGTATCCGCCACTTCTCCCGCACCGAAACCCGATACCGCAGTGTACACATTACTCCCCGCGGCACAACACACACACACTTACCTTGCTTACATACACACCATCACCGCCTATGCACGTATAACACACATCATGCCAGACGGAGACAAAGATGACTCCCCCCCCCAACCCCCGTTTGGAAGCTCACAAGCATCACTGTGGCGCACGAGGGGGTCGCGTGACAAGCCCCCACGCCCGGCCGCCTTTGTCTCCCCGTGATTCTCGCGGAAGTGCGGAGTTGACCTGATAACTTGAATCTAAATTGTCTCATGGTTTCATCTTCTTGGTTCTTTCGGTAAAGTCAGGTAGAATGGAAATAATAAAATAATAGAAATAAAACATAATAAAATAATTCTCACGACGTTTCCGGCCACAACGCAAGCAGCCGTCCTCAGGTGGAGAACAGGTCTGTCGAGGAGACAGAGTCAGACTCTGACCCTAAACGTCGTGAGAATTATTTTATTATTTCCATTCTACGTGACTTTACCGAAAGAACCAAGAAGATGAATCCCTGCAGTCACGAAAGCTTTAAATCGAAATTTGTCTCATGGTTTGTTATTGTTTGACCTGCATCACACTGGGATTTTTGGCACCCAGCGTTGTAAATCGGTATTTTTTTTTCTTTCTGGAAAATTCGCTGGTTTATCCCAGGATGTTTCTATTGAGCGTCGTCGCTTTAAGATGTTCTCTGTTCATGTTTTTGTTTGTTGCGGTTGCACCCAACTCAAAAGCCGCATGGCTCACAGGGCGAAACCTAAAACATGAAACTTGATACAGCTATCGTGCTGTGACGGTTCCACCTGAAGACGGAAGCTTGTGTTGCCTCCGAAACGTCGTGATTTTTATTTTTACTTTGATTAATTTTAATTTTTTATCTACGTGACTTTACCGAAAAAACCTAAGAATATGAAACTTGAAGTTTACACACCACACCAGGTGCTCAGTTGAGGCTGAGTCGACCTGGGCGACACACACCACACGCTCTACCGTATTCGTACTACGCACGCCCTCCCAGCCAATCCTTCGAAGCCCAAGGGTCGCGATGTGCGTCTTCTCCGTCCGCAAAAAAGACGGCGATCGTTTTCCGTCGCTGTCGGAATCAAGTGTCGTTCATTTGAAATGGCAAAATGTGTTTGGAAAAGCAAATCGGCCTTTGGACACACAAATGACAGCGCGCTCACTGCATCGGCTCGGAGACGTTAGCTCCAGTAAGAACACGGAGGCTTTCGCGAACCCGGCTTCTGTCAGCCTGATGATGCCGGCCGTAATTACTGGCGAAACGTCGTACTCTCGGATTGTAAATGTCGTGGATTTGCTCTCAGTGTGCTGTGCGAGTCACGATTCATATCCTTGGTTCTTTCGGTAAAGTCACGTAGAAGGGAAATAATAAAATAAGATTTTATTGTTTAATTTTTGTTGTCACCCCAACCCCACATTCACGTCGCCTCTCGGCCTTTGCTACCCACTGCTGCCTGCTGCCCACTGCTGCCCTGTAAGTCGATTGACGTCGTTTCGATATTCGCCGTTGTGCCTTTCAGGAGCTCATCCCCGACGTCGAAGACCGGGGATTTGGGGGCACCACAGTGGTGAGATGTTTACTACCTCGCCTGGTCTACAGGTCGTGGGTTCGATCCCGTCCCTGGCGCCTGCTGCTGTGTATTTGGAGTTTGCGTCTCTCTCTCATCATCATCACGGTGGCCAGGAGATATTAACTACCTCGCCTGATGCACAGGAGGTCGTGGGTTCGATCCCGACCCTGATGTATATTTGGAGTTTGCGTGTCTCTCCCTCCCCGTGGTGAGATGTTAGCTACCTCACTTGGTATACAGGAGGTCATGGGTTTGATCCCGACCCTGACGCCTGCTGTGTATTTGGAGTTCGTGTGTCTCTCTCATCATCACGGTGGATAGATGTTAACTACCTCGCCTGGTATACAGGAGGTCATGGGTTTGATCCCGACCCTGACACCTGCTGTGTATTTGGAGTTCGCGTGTCTCTCTCTCTCTCCCCGTGGTGATCGCGTGGATCTTTCTCCGGGTTCCTCCGGTTTTTCCTTCCGCATTTTTGAAGCACGCGACTCACCGTCGTCTCACCTTCCAGGAATTCACCGCCCGACGGCGTAAGCCGGGGTATGATCGCCGTGCCAGTTGAGTGCGGCCAAGATACAGAAGTTTTCCATCAAATAGGGGTTTTTTTTTTTGGGGTTAGATCGCGTAAATATAAATGTGTCATTAAACCCGCCACCACCCGACACAGCTAATCAGGAAGGGTTTGTCACGTGAACAGACCGTGCCAATTAGTTAACCGCTTCAGCACACCCGATAGTGGCATTGTGTTTGTGCTGTTCGCCTTTGGGCGTTCTCTGGTCTAACATCGGTTGAGATTAGGCCCTAAAGAAGGCTGTCTCTGGTGTAGACCAATCAGACGCGATTCCTTGCAAAAGGTTTCTGTTCGGTGTTTGAACATCTTAGCACAGCTGTTTTATTGCCAGAAAGCGTGAAACCTATTCTCATACCGGAGATTAAACCCACCACGACATTTACAATTCGTTTCGCCGGCAATTACAGAAGTTTGCGGGCAGATTCCAAGTTGTAGGGAGTGAAGCGTCACGCCACGCAAAGTGAAGTCGCGGACTTTTACGAAGTACGGCACACGAACCGAGTCAGGCCTGGGTGTAACAGGAACCACCACTCACTGTATTCACATCAAGTACAACGGCGGAAGCGTCAAATACCCACAGAGGCTAGAACCACAGTGATCAAGCAACACGTGTGACGGTAAAAAAACATATATAGACATATTGAAAACGGGTTAGATACTAGATTAAATATATTGAAACCAAAGCATACCATCTGGCCAGACGTATATACAAAGCAATGAACCATCGTGCCCCAGGCCAGAGGTCGCAAACGGGTTTTGATTCCTTACCCGTACCCGTACCTGGCCGCACCAGGGTCGCAAACGGGTACCCGTACCCGGCCGGGTAGCCTACCCGGGTACGGGTAGGGTACGGGTATCGGGTACCCGATTGCGACCTCTGGGATGAAGCCATGTTGCAGGCGCGGGTGGGTTGATTCTAGGAACTTGAATTGTAAGAGACAAGACGTTGGGAAATGAGTGACAAACGGTTACCCACCAGTGACTCACGGCCTGCCCGTACCCGTACCCGGCCGCACCAGGGTCGCAAACGGGTACCCGTACCCGGCTGGGTACGGGTAGCCGGGTATCGGGTAGGGTACGGGTATCGGGTACCCGGTTGCGACCTCTGCCCTAGGCTACATCATTGACATGGTTCAACCCCCATGTGTCCCCTCAAGTTCCCTAAGATCTGGGGATGCAGATCTTCTCTCTGCATTCCCAGGTCGAAGCTGTCGGTCTGTGGGCGACGGAGATGTTCCCCGTGTAGCCACCAGGCGATGGAACGCTCTTCCACGAGGTATCAAGAGTCTTTGGACATTTTTGAATTGCGCCTACAAACCTAAATTTAATAAGCTTCCGCTTATAGAACTTTTAGCGAATTTAGGGAATTATTTTTTTTATGAATTTATAATATTATTTTCATGCCCGGTGTCTGTTGTTGATGTGTCATGTACAATGCTTCGAGATCCTTGATGAAAATCGCTCTATAAATGTCATTGTTATTACAAAACCTTTATCCGATAAGCGGCGCATTTAGCTGCATTTCATTCCATTCTGTTTTCATTCCTTTTTACAAATTTGCTGTTTTCCCCGTGCTTTGGTTCAAATTCCGTTTGTTCCGATAGCTCCAACCGTGACCGATTCTCCGCTGGCCACATCCTAGCCGAGCCGGCACGGTCATGGCACGGGTGGTTATCCACTGGCTGCTTGCCGGGCAGAGCCAGAACCAAACCCCAATAAGTGCCACGCGCGTCTCCGTCGCTCACCGCGTGTGTGATGTCAGTACGTGGCAATGTCAGTCGGTACGTGGTGAGGACGTGTCACCGTGTCGCCCACGCGCATCTCGGCTCGCTCACCGCGTCACCCACGAGCGTCTCCGCTCGCTCACCGCGTGTGTGATGTCAGTCGGTACGCGGTGAGGACGTGTCACCGCGTCACCCACACGCGTCCCTGCTCGCTCACCGCGCGCGCCAAGCCGGTCTGTACGCGGTGAGGACGCGTCATCCCGTTGCCGCGTCGGGCCGGCTCAGCACGGCCCCGGCACGGCTCGGTTGTGCAGTGGAAAACCGAAATATACGTGTAAAAAAAAAAACTTTTTCAACGACTGAGCATTCCGGATGCGAAGTCGCCACGGGTCGGGGGGTGGACCGGCGGCACCGTCACACGGGCGAGCGCGCCCGCACGGGCGAGCTGGCGAGCGGAGCCGCGTCGCCGAACACGTTGGCGTAGGAGGTCTTGAGGAAGTGCACGTAGCTCTGCATGCTGCGGTTCGTCGTCTCGGACTGCTCCAGGCGGTCGCGCAGGTCCTGCAGGCGGCTCGCGTGCCGACGCTCCGCCTGGGGGGGCGGCGGGGGGGGGGGGGGCAGCCATCAGCTACCGCGCCTTGAGAGCCGTGGGGCGTACGCGTGTGTGACGCTACGCAATCTCGTGGCAATGGGGGATCTAAACTATGGAACTGTTCACGATTTACAAACGGCAGATTAAAGTATGAAAGTAAACTAATCAATTCTTGATAATTGGTTTTTTACCCTTTTATCTGGCAACAAAACTGACACCTTTTTTATAAGGAGTCATGTTTGCATAGACCACAATAGCTGCAGTCGTAATGCAAAAAAAAACATAACTCTGATAATGTATGCACTGTCCTTGAAGTTGATTGGTCCACACCCGAGACAGCTTTCCTTAGAGCCTAGTCTCACATGGTGTTGGACCAGATGACGCCAAAAGGCGCATTACGACTGCAGGTATTGTGGTCTATGCAAACATGACTCCTTGTAAAAAAGGTGTCAGTTTTGTTGCCAGATAAAAGGGTAAAAAAACAATTATCATATTTTTCTACTGGCAAATGAGGTTCCAATGGTGTAAACAATTCTTGTTTAACGTAGGTAAGGCCCACCGCACTGTGCCGGCCTTCATAGGCGCTGCTCGCTAACAGCGCTCATACCAAGATTCTGTTCAAGGCTACAGGGGGGATATTTGTCTGTTGATCTTTATTTGCCTGTGTCTGTGTGTGTTGTGTATATGCGGTAGTGTAGCGTGTAGTGCGCTGTGCTACGAACCAGGCGACCCGAGTTCGATTATCTGAACTGGTCCTGGGCCCCCCCTAGTCAAACGAGTACCTAGTGCGGTGTGTAAAACAGCCATAAACTATTTTATATTTACCAGCTAAAGGCTCCACTAAGCTGCATAGCGCTTTTTAACAAGCGACGTGGCCACACGCAATGATAGCTCAACGGAAGTGGCTTCTCACCGCGGAGACATTTACAGGATCTACTACTGCAAAGGGCCGTGCCGCGAATTCCTCCGTGCGCGGAGTTTGCTCTGCGCCGCGTTCGCGCGTGCGAGTGCACCCAGCATGGCACAAGCGCCGTGGTGACGTCACCGCCGCTCGGTGGTGAACGGCGGCGGTTGTTGTTGTGAGCGGGGAGCGGTGGAGCAGCTGTTAGCGCGCTGCGCTACGAACCCGGCCACCCGGGTTCGATTCCCGCTCATGGCCAACCAATGCCAGTAACAATAATCTGAACCAGTCCTGGGGCCTCGCCAATGTCGAATCGACCTCAAATGAGTACCTGGTGCGGCGTGTAGTAAACATCGCCACTGGGGAGACAAAGGCGGCCGGGCGGGCGTGGTGCTCGCCACCCACCCCCATCGTGTGTCGTGCCGGCCTTCGTGAGGCGCTGCTACTCGCGAACAGCGCTTGCCCCAAAAGTCTGGTAAGGCTACACGGCGTGGGGGGGAACCTTTGTCTTTGTGGCGAACACCGGCTGCTCATATCCGCAACGCCGGTGCACAGTGCAAACACGGAATAATCACGGAAGCCAGAGCGTAACAACATCCGGCAAGCGCTGGAGCTGGCGTCACGTGGGCTGGGGACGTCACTGCGACGTCGCGGCACCGCCGGCAATGTTGACCGCACGGCGACAGATGCAGCCGCGTCGTAGAATAACAAACGGCTCCAATTGTGAACGGAGGAGAGTTTCGCCGAGTCCCAAGAGGGTGCTGCTGGTGCCACATTGGGGTCGCGTGGCCCGTGAGCTCCACGAGTAATAGATGGTTCGTGTGGGAGGAGGATCCCGGAGACAACCCAGGAGACGCCGGTACAGCGAAACGTGGAGAAATCTCCATCTGTCCCATTTGTAATGTGTTGAGTGCTGCCCCCTACGCAAGCGTGTGGATTTTCTATGGGTGCTCCCGTTTCCTACCTTCTTTGTTGGCCTTCCCCCGTACCTCTCACGAGCGTGGTTGGGTACGTAGGGTGCGAAAGAAGTTCAACATACATCCACACTGCCCATAGACTAACACTGTCCATAAACTCAACACTGTCCATAAACTAAACACTGCCCATAGACTCAACACTACCCATAGACTCAACACTGCCCATAGACTCAACACTACCCATAGACTCAACACTGCCCATAGACTCAATACTGCACGTCCAATTAGCACAGTTGGCTACTTGTAGCACAACGTACATACATACTGAGGCATCCTCTACGCGCCTCTCGTGTGCTGCGGATTGCTCTGCGCCTGCATGAATGACGCTACCGTGTAAACACACGACATCATCATTCTTATTCCTGCTGTTGTTGTTGCAATAATATTATTACTACGGGACACAAAGCTGTCTGTCGTACCACCTGCTCTGTCTGAGCGTGTTAACGAGCGTTTGCTACCTGCGATTACTGCCAAGGGCCCCATTCTGGCGAGGAGATGTTAACTCCCTCGCCTGGTATGCAGGAGGCCGTAGGTTCGATCCCGACCCTGACGCCTGCTGCTGTATATTTGGAGATTGCGTGTCTCTCTCTCTCATCATCATCACGGTGGCTAAAAGATGTTAACTACCTCACCTGGTATGCAGGAGGTCGTAGGTTCGATCCCGACCCTGACGCCTGCTGCTGTATATTTGGAGATTGCGTGTCTCTGTCTCTCATCATCATCACGGTGGCTAGGAGATGTTAACTACCTCGCCTGGTGTACAGGAGGTCGTGGGTTTGATCCTGACCCCTGCTGTATATGTGGAGTTTGCGTGTGTCTCTCTCTCTCTCCCTGTTGTGGTCGCGTGGATTTTTCTCCAGGCCCTCCGGTTTTTCCCACTTCGTTGAGCTATCCTTCGTGGTTAAATAACCAATAGTTCATCGTTTTAAATATGAGTTTTGCGCCTCACTGCTCCCAGCTCGGAGCCGTTTAACCAAATCGCCGGCCCTCCGGCCGGACGTGTTGCTGGCCACGCACCCCCTCGTGTGCCACAGCGCCGGCCTTCGTAGGCGCTGCTACTCGCTAACAGCACTTGCCCCTACAGTCTGTTAAGGCTATACGGGGAGGTGGGTATCTTTGTCTTTCACTCGTTGCTGCAATGTGGCGGTTGTGGAGAGAGTGGAGCAGTTCCCATAATTCGTGGAAGTGCGCTCACGGCGAGCTCCGGTTTGGCGGCGGAGATCGCACTTCGAATCTGTCAAGTGGCATTATCTTCTCGTTGGCTGCGTAAGTAACGGCTGTGTGGAAGCTGCCTAGCCTGTGGCTGCAAACGAAGACTAGGCTCTTCTCTTTGTGTGTGCGTGTGTGTGTGTGTGCGCGCGAGCGTGTGCGCGTGTGCGTGCGTGCGCGTATGTGTGTGCGTGTGTGAGCGTGTGTGTGTGTGCGTGTGTGTGCATGTGTGCGCGTGTGTGTGTACGCGTGTGTGAGCGTGTTTGTGCATGTGCGTGTGTGTGCGAGCGTGTGTGTGCGAGCGTGTGTGTGCGAGCATGTGTGTGTGAGCGTGTGTGTGTGAGCGTGTGTGTGTGCATGAGAGCGTGTGTGTGAGCGTGTGTGTGCGTGTGTGTGTGAGCGTGTGTGTGCACGTGTGTGAGCGCGCGTGTGAGCGTGTGCATACGTGTATGTGAGCGTGTGTGTGCGTGTGTGTGAGCGTGCGTGTGTGAGTGTGTGTGTGAGCATGTGTGAGCGTGTGTGAGCGTGTGTGAGCGTGTGTGAGCGTGTGTGTGGCGTGGCTCCTCACGTCGTCCTTGGCGCGACGCAGCTGTGCGGCCTCTGCGCGAGTGCGGCTCAGCTGAGCCTCCAGTTCCAGAGCCTTGGCCTGGGCGGCGCGCTCCTTGCCCTGCGCTCGCTCACGAGCCTGCTCCACCTGGGGTGACAGCGACACACGCACAGTGACACACACCGCCATTCGCCACTAGGTGGCGGTGACGTCACCACGACGCTTGTGCCAGGCTATGTGCACCTTGAGGCCACGTGAAGTGTCGAACGCCCGCTGGCAGGAGGTCACGGGGCAGACCCAGGTGCCACGAGTCAACTGACTGAGATGACCGAGATGACTGGCTGATGCACCACCTGTGCCCCCTACTGTGCCAACTTGCTGTGCTTTAGCCACCCGGCGCTCCGCTCGTTGTTGTGAGCATCGCTCCTCCGCCCTCCGTTGTTATTGGAGGGCGACTGCCTCCAACTGCCCAGCAGCGTCTTTCACGAGCCTCCTCCATAGAGGCCGATCTTGACACCGCTGGTACCAATCATCGGCAAGTCCACATCTATTCTCGAGCCCATGCCGCGCCTGTTTAGGCCCCTCTATCCGCCCGAACAAAAGCTGTTTAGGCATGTGGTGGGCTGGGCATGCGGGCTACATGACCCAGCCAACGCAGCCTTGCCTGCCGGAGGAGCTCACTGATGGAACTTTCTTTCAAGGATTTGTGAACTCCTCACACAATCCAGCCTGGGTCAACCTAGGATGGATCGTAGGCAGGCCAGCCTAAATGTTTCAAACTGGCGAAGATGTTCCATTAGGGGGGTCCACGTTTCGCAAGCGTAGAGAAGGGAGGTCATGACTGTGGCCAAGAAGATCCGAAGCTTCGTGTAGAGTGACAGACCAGGTACCTTCCACAGATATTGCCGCTCGACTGATTTGAAGTGAGACTTCTGCCATCAAACGGGAGCTGGTCATAAGCACAATGCCCAGCTATGGAAAACTCTCCACTCTCTCCACAACTGCTCCAACACCAATGGGGGCTGAGTGGGTGGAGTGTTTGATGGCACAAAATACCCAGGCAGGTGCTTAGTTTTGGTGGAACTGATGGTAAGACCCCACCTCTTAGTGGCAAGCTGCAGGTTCAGCTGTAGCACCTCCAACTCCTCCTCTGAGCGAGCAGCAATCACCAGATCAACGGCATACATAACCAATAGGGAGCCATCCCTTCACCGCACCCGGGCATCAATTAGCCTCCCTTTGTATCCGTACCAGATGGAAATTCTTCCGGTAGAGCCATGGAAAGCTTCACGAACTACGCAGTCAAAGATGATGAGTGCATTGTCTTTGAGCTGTACGCCTTTTGGCGTCCTCTGGTCTAGCACCAATTGAGACGAGGCTCAACAGAAAGCCGTTTTTGGTGTGGACCAATCAGTTTCAAGGACAATGCCATCATATTATCAGTGTTTTTTTTTCAAATTTTCTGTGGATTTCACACCTGATGACGATTGCTTGTGTTGCAGTCGAAACGTCGTGAGATTTTTTAATATTATATTTTTATTATTTTATTATTTCCCTTCTACGTGACTTTACCGAAAGAACCAAGAATATAGTGTGTTTTTTGTTTGCATTTTGACCACAAGTATTGTGGTTAATGCACACATGATTCCTTGTAAAAAGGTTTCAGTTTTGTTGCCAGAAAAAAGGGGGAAAACCCTATTATTATTATAAAGATGATGATGTTAACTAATGTGGGAGCCCGTGCCCCCCACCCTGCACCCCCCTTCCCGCCCGTGCCCACCCACCCTGCACCCCCCTTCCCGCCCGTGCCCCCCACCCTGCACCCCCCTTCCCACCCGTGCCCCCTGCCCGTGCCCACCCACCCTGCACCCCCCTTCCCGCTCGTGCCCCCCACCCTGCACCCCCCTTCCCGCCCGTGCCCCCCACCCATGCCCCCCACCCATGCCCCCCACCCGTGCCCACCCACCCTGCACCCCCCTTCCCGCCCGTGCTCCCCGCCCGTGCCCCCCGCCCGTGCCCCCCGCCCGTACCCCCCGCCCGTGCCCACCCACCTGTCTGCGAGCGTCGTCGAGCGCGAGCTCCAGCTGGCGAGACAGCGCCGCCACGTCGCGTGCCCTCTCCTCTCCGCGCAGCCGCTCCAGCGCCAGCGCCTCCTCCCGCTGGGCCACGGCCTGCGCCAGCTCGCGGCTCTGCTGCTCCGCGCCCTCCACACGTCTACACAGAGAGGCCCCCACCCCGACCGCGTGACCTTCCGCCGGCTTTTGGGGCAAGCGCCGTTCGCGTAGTGGCACCCCTCAAGGCCGGCACGGCGCACCACCCACGAGGTGGTGGTGTGGCCGGCAGCCACGGGGCCGGCCGCCTTTTGCGTGTGATGGGGCTGGCTGTGTGCGACGTTGCCGTGCGTGCACGTGTGAAGTTGCTGTGTGTGTGATGTTGCCGTGTGTGTGACGTTACCATATGTGTGTGTGTGCGTGAGGTTGCCGTGTGTGAGACGTTACCATGTGTGTGTGTGTGCGTGAGGTTGCCGTGTGTGAGACGTTACCATGTGTGTGTGATGTTGCCGTGTGTGAGACGTTACCATGTGTGTGTGTGTGCGTGAGGTTGCCGTGTGTGAGACGTTACCATGTGTGTGTGTGTGCGTGAGGTTGCCGTGTGTGAGACGTTACCATGTGTGTGTGATGTTGCCGTGTGTGAGACGTTACCATGTGTGTGTGTGTGCGTGATGTTGCCGTGTGCGTGACGTTACCATGTGTGTGTGAGACGTTGCCGTGTGTGTGTGTGCGTGAGGTTGCCGTGTGTGAGACGTTACCATGTGTGTGTGCGTGATGTTGCCGTGTGCGTGACGTTACCATGTGTGTGTGAGACGTTGCCGTGTGTGAGACGTTACCATGTGTGTGTGTGCGTGAGGTTGCCGTGTGTGAGACGTTACCATGTGTGTGTGTGTGTGTGATGTTGCCGTGTGTGTGACGTTACCATGTGTGTGTGAGACGTTGACGTGTGTGAGACGTTACCATGTGTGTGTGTGTGTGTGAGACGTTGACGTGTGTGAGACGTTACCATGTGTGTGTGTGTGCGTGCGCGTGTGACGTTGCCGTGCGTGCATGATGTTGCCGTGTGTGAGACGTTACCATGTGTGTGTGTGTGTGTGCGCGTGCGTGACGTTGCCGTGTGTGCGACGTTGCCGTGCGCGTGTGCGCGTGCGTGACGGCGCTGGTTAACCTCTGCAAGGCGTCGGTCTTGAGCTGCAGTTCGTGATTCACCTCCTGCAGCGATGCCGCGCTCTCCCGCACAGACTCCAGCTGCAGCGCCTGCTGCTCCGCCTGCACTGGCCGCCCCCCCACCGCACAGACAAGAGACAAAGGTCACCCGCGTAGCCTACGCACGCTGTCGGGGCAAGTGCCGTTCGCGAGCGGCATCCACAAACGGCACCACGTGCCTTGGTCCACCTATCACCTATGTCTGCCGAGCGCCGACGTTTATAAACCGAAACTGCGATGGATGTTCATCCACGGCCGAGTTCTGCCTTTAGTGGAGGCCTCGGGAACAGTTACGATAATCGTCACCAGTGTTGGCCCGTGAGCGGGAATCGAACCCCGTTTACACACATGCACAGACACACAACAACAAGAAGAACAACCGCCATTCGCCACTAAGTGGCGGTGACGTCACCACGGCGCCTTTGCCAGGCTATATGCACGTTGAGGCCACGTGAAGTGTCGAACGCCCGCTGGCAGGAGGTCATGGGACAGACCCAGGTGCCATGGGTCGACCGACTGAGATGACCGAGATGACTGGCCGATGCACCACCTGTGCCCCCTACTGTGCCAAATTGCTCTTTTATCCGCCCGGCTCTCCACTCGTTGTTGTGAGCATTGCTCCTCCGCCCTCGGTTGTTGTTGGAGGGCGACTGCCTCCACCTGCCCAGTAGCGTCCTTCACGAGCCTCCTCCACAGAGGCCGATCTTGACACCGCTGGTACCAGTCATCGGCAAGTCCACTCAGCTTCACATCCTCCTGTACCACATCACTCCATCGCTCTCCAGCCCGTGCCGCGCCCGTCTAGCCCCCTCTATCCGGCCGAACAAAAGCTGTTTAGGCATGCGGTGGCTGGGCATGCGGGCTACATGACCCAGCGCAGACACACACACGCGTACGCACACACACACACGGACCTTGAGGCGAGCCTCGGCCAGGCTGGACGCCTGCTCGGCCTCCCTCCTGTGCGCGGTGGCCAGCGTGGCCTCGCTGTCGCGCAGACGCAGCTCAGCGGCCTTCAGCATCTCGGGCAGCGGCTCCAACTGGGAGAGACGCGACTCCACCGAGCGCCGCATCTACACGCAGACGCCGTCGTAGAGACGCACGCGCAGAGATTAAACTTAGACACACACACACATTACACTTAGACACACACACACACATTACACTTAGACACACATCACACTGAGACGCACACACACAGACATTACACTTAGACACACATCACACTGAGACGCACACACACAGACATTACACTTAGACATACATCACACTGAGACGCACACGCACAGACATTACACTTAGACACACACACACAGACATTACACTTAGACACACATCACACAGAGATGCACACGCACAGACATTACACTTAGACACACATCACACTGAGACGCACACGCACAGACATTACACTTAGACACACACACACAGACATTACACTTAGACACACATCACACTGAGACGCACACGCACAGACATTACACTTAGACACATCACACTGAGACGCACACACACAGACATCACACTTAGACACACATCACACTGAGACGCACACACACAGACATCACACAGACACATATTACACTTAGACACACACACATTACACTTAGACACACATCACACCGAGACGCACACGCACAGACATTACACTTAGACACACATCACACTGAGACGCACACGCACAGACATTACACTTAGACACGCGCACACAGATTACATACAGAGATACACACATACATACACTACACATAGAGATACACACACACGTAGATACACACAGAGATACACTACACACAGAGATACACACACACGTAGATACACACACATACACTACACACAGAGATACACACACACAGATACACACAGAGATACACTACACACAGAGATACACACACACGTAGATACACACACATACACTACACACAGAGATACACACACACGTAGATACACACAGAGATACACACACACGTAGATACACACAGAGATACACAAAGATCAAAGATCCCCCGTATAGCCTTAACAGACTGTAGGGGCAAGTGCTGTTAGCGAGCACCTATGAAGGCCGGAACGGTACACGAGGGGGTGGGTGGCCAGCACCACGCCCGACCGCCTTTGTCTCCCCAGTGGCGATGTTTACACACCGCACCAGATACTCATTTAAGGCTGAGTCGACCTAGGGGAGGCCCAGAACCAGTTCAGATAATCGTCACTGGTGTTAGCCGTGAGCGGGAATCGAAGCCAGGTCGCCAGGTTCATAGCGCAGCTCGCTAACCGCTGCACTACCGCTCCCCACAGAGATACACACACGTAGATACACACAGAGATACACACACACACGTAGATACACACAGAGATACACACACACGTAGATACACACAGAGATACACACACACGTAGATACACACAAAGATACACACACACGTAGATACACACAGAGATACACACACACGTAGATACACACAGAGATACACACACACGTAGATACACACAGAGATACACACACACGTAGATACACACAGAGATACACACACACGTAGATACACACAGAGATACACACACACGTAGATACACACAGAGATACACACACACGTAGATACACACAGAGATACACACACACGTAGATACACACAGAGATACACACACACGTAGATACACACAAAGATACACACACACGTAGATACACACAGAGATACACACACACGTAGATACACACAGAGATACACACACACGTAGATACACACAGAGATACACACACACACGTAGATACACACAGAGATACACACACACGTAGATACACACAGAGATACACACACGTAGATACACACAGAGACACACACACACAGATACACACACACATTACACTTAGACACACACACATTACACTTAGACACACATCACACTGAGACGCACACGCACAGACATTACACTTAGACACGCGCACACAGATTACATACAGAGATACACACACACACGTAGATACACACAGAGATACACACACACACGTAGATACACACAGAGATACACACGCACGTAGATACACACAGAGATACACACACACGTAGATACACACAAAGATACACACACACGTAGATACACACAGAGATACACATACACGTAGATACACACAGAGATACACACACACATACACTACACACAGAGATACACACACACGTAGATACACACAGAGATACACACACACGTAGATACACACAGAGATACACACACACACGTAGATACACACAGAGATACACACACACATACACTACACACAGAGATACACACACACACGTAGATACACACAGAGATACACACACACATACACTACACACAGAGATACACACACACGTAGATACACACAGAGATACACACACACGTAGATACACAGAGATACACACACACACGTAGATACACACAGAGACACACACACACGTAGATACACACAGAGATACACACACACACGTAGATACACACAGAGATACACACACACACGTAGATACACACAGAGATACAGCGGCTACAGCTGGGACTAGCCGCGGTTCGGGGGAGCACCACATCTTCTCGTGGCCACGGAGACGAGATCCGTACACGCGGCACGCACGCATGGAGAGAGGGGTGGCCATCGGTGATGACGGAGGTCGACGGGGGACCGAGATGAGATGAAGGGTGCCACGGTGGCTAGAAAATGTTAACTACCTCGCCTGGTGTACAGGAGGTCGTGGGTTCGATCCCAACCCTGACGCCTGCTGCTGTACATTTGGAGATTGCGTGTCTCTCTCTCTCTCTCTCATCATCATCACGGTGGCTAGCAGATGTTAACTACCTCGCCTGGTGTACAGGAGGTCGTGGGTTTGATCCTGACACCTGCTGTGTATTTGGAGTTTGCGTGTCTCTCTCTCGTCATCATCACCACGGTGGATAGATGTTAACTACCTCGCCTGGTACACAGGAGGTCGTGGGTTTGACCCTGACACCTGCTGTGTATTTGGAGTTTGCGTGTCTCTCTCTCTCTCCCCGTGGTCGTGTGGATTTTACTCCTCCGGTTTTTCTCTCCACATTTAGAATTGATGTCACGCGTTCAGAGTATTTGTCTGCTGCTAGAAATTGAAGCCACTTCGCCGAGTCATCATTTGTGATAGCCAAAAAAACCCAAACATTTCATAGCGGCCCTCGCTCTGCGTGGTCACCTGCTCGGCCTCCCGGCCGCTCTCGTCGCGAAGCCTCCGGTTCTCCTTCTCCGCCAAGTCCAGCTTCACCTTGAACTCGTCGGCCTCCACGCGAGTCTTCGTCACCTGGGGGCCGACAACGAGGTGGGGGGCGGGGGGAGTCCGCACGGCGTGGTGTGCGCGTCACACGCAAGGCGCTTTGCCACAAATGGAACCGCGGGAGCTCGCCCATCTCAAACTCTGGCCGTCCTCGCAGTGGTGGCGGCTTTTGGCCGGCCGTCGAACAAAGACGGTCGCGGCTTCGTCGCACTTTCAGATGTGCTTCCGCGGCCGTCTGGAACGCTCTTCCTTCCGATATCAGGAAGCCACTGGAGCTATGCACTTTTAAATCATGGTGGGCTACATATGGTGCGAAAGACGTTCAAAATACATAGAGACTTATAAACTCACCACACAGAGACCCATGGACTCACACATTGCATCGCGTGCTTCCAGATGCGATTCTGTGGCCGTCTGGAAAGCTCTTCATTTCGATATTAAGAAACCACTGGAGCTACACACCGGGCTGCTTTTTGTGTTGAGTTTGTTGTCCTTCCCCCGCACTGCCGATTAGCGTGGCTGGCTACGTACAGTGCGAAAGAAGTTCAACGTACATAGTAGAGTACTGCATGTCCAGACTTCCGCTCGCGCCACCACTCGGCAGCGTCCCGAAGCTCCCGTAAATAACAAAACTACGATAAGTGCACGGCAAGATGCCGGACGACGGCTGTCGGAATTTGTTCCGGACACGCGACGGAAGAATTGCATTGCCATCGATGACAGATGCCGGCGAATAGAGCAGTCCGGATAACAACCACCACCAACATCAAAATATTCAATCATCCTCACCACCGCCAGCCCCACCGCTACCATCACCACATGGTTCGAAATTCCAAGGAGGGAGCCATGCTCGCTCACCGGCTCAACGCGTTGGGTTCAGCGTGTTGGCACGGGAAACTCCCTCACCTGGGTCTTATATCCGTCCACCAGGCCCTCATACTGCTTCATGGTGGCCGTCAGCTGCTGCACCTCCGATTCGGCAAAGTGGAGTTTCTCCTCCACAGCCGAGAGGCTCGCCTGTGGTGACACGCGGGGGGACAAGCGGTGGGACAAGCGGGGGAACACGCAGGAGACACGCGGGGAGACGCGGGGAGATGCGGGGACACGCGGCGAGACACGGGGACACGTAGTGAGACGTGGTGAGACGCGGGGGATGCACGGAGACACGCGGTGAGACGCAGGGGGACATGCAGGAGACACGGGGACACACAGTGAGACGCGGGGAGATGCGGGGACACGCGGGGACACGCAGAGAGACGTGGTGAGACGTGGTGACATGAAGCGCGGGGATGCATGGCGAGACAAGGTGAGATGAGACCACCAGATTGTTCAGAGATCAGAGAGGCTGACAGGCATCTGCCGAGACCCTGGGTTCAAGTCCGGGTTTCACACCCACATGATGGGTAACCCGGCTCCTCAAGGGCAGCGCGTTGATGGTGGAGGAGAGGGTGGGGGGCCCCAGGACCGCTTCAGTTACCGGTCACGACCCATGACATCCTCCGGGCAGGAAACGAACCGGGGTCGCCAGGTTCGTAGCGCATTGCGCGAACCACAAGTCACCGCATTCTCACTTCGCGATTCGATCGCCCCTTCCCCGCGGTCCGTCTCGCTTGTACCGCTTCGTTCGCATTCACACGACACTCGCCAATTTTTTTATTCCCTACTTCTATAACCCCCGTCTCAGCCGAACCTCTGACCCTCGATCCCCCCCACCCCATCCCTGGCCGGCCGTGTGTGGTGGGTGACCTTGAGGCGCTCCCCGTGGAGCCGTGCGCCGGCCACGTCGCCGTTGGCTCGGTGGAGCCGCTCGGCGCTCGCCTCCCGCTCGGCCCGCGCTCGCTCCTCGGCCGCCCGGGCCTGCCGCTCCGCGTCCAGCACTCGTCTGCAGCGTGCAGACATGCACAGACACGCGCAGACACGTGCAGACGCGCATAGACACTCGCAGACACGTGCACAGACACTCGCAGACACGTGCACAGACACACGCAGACACGCGCAGACGCACGCAGACGCACACAGACACGTGCACAGACGCACGCAGACGCACGCAGACACGTGCAGACACGCGCACAGACACACGCAGACACACGCAGACACACACCAGCATTGCTCATTCAGTTTAATGGCATTGAACCACGACGCCTCCTCTGCACTCTTCTATCGTTGCTGCTGCTGCCATGGTGACCGTTCCCGCGAACTTCGCTCGTTCATTCAGTCCTCCTCCACCAAATGTTGGGGGCTCCTCTCACGCGGTGTGTAGACCACCACGCTTGCAGGTCACAACGAAGACAAAGATCCCCTGTGTAGCCTGCAACAGACTGTAGGGGCAAGTGCTGTTAGCGAGCACCTATGAGGGCCGCCACGACACACGATGGGGTGGGCGGCCAGCACCACGCCCGGCCGCCTTTGTCTCCCCAGTGGCAATGTTTACACACCGCACCAGGTACTCGTTTGAGGCACCCCCCTATCTCCATGCGGGCCACCTCTCCCCCTCCTCGTCCCCCCCTCCCTCATTCTCCCCCCTCCCTTCGTCCCCCCCTCGCCCTCATCTCCCCCTTCATCCCCCCCCCTCCCCCACGTCATCCCCGTGCGGGCCGCCCCGTCCATTTCCTCGCAACGCGGCCGACACCCGAGCCGTGCGGGTGGGATGACGACAGCCGGGACGACGCCGGCCTCCGTGATTGCAACGGCAAACACCGGGCGGGGGGCCACAAAGAAACCGCGGCGGCAGTGGAAGTGGCGATGCGGGCTGGGTGACGGTGGTGGGGGGGGGGGGCACGGCGACAGCCCAACACCCCCCGAACCCCCCCCCCCCGGGCTGCGTGCGCCGCCACCGGACGCTGAACAAACAGCGGCAGCTGGGCAGCGCGACGCCCTCTGGGTTCGTCTTACACGGCGGCGGCGGCGGGGGGCCATCACCTGCGGGTGTAAACCCTGCCCGCACGTGCCCCTCGCCGCCATTGGTTGGCACCGTGCCGCCGGCCCCGAGGGGCCCGCCAGCCCCACTAAGCTCTTCCACGGTTTGTGTACGACGGTGCGGGTTTACGTGGTCGTGCTACCTGCTGTTGTTGTTGTGTACGACTCTGTGGGTTTACACGGTCGTGCCGCCTGTTGTTGTTGTGTACGACGGTGCGGGTTTACACGGTCGTGCCGCCTGTTGTTGTTGTGTACGACTGAGTGGGTTGACTGGGTCGTGCCGCCTGTTGTTGTTGTTGTTGTGTACGACTGTGTGGGTTTACGTGGTCGTTTCGTTTGTTGTTGTTGTTGTGTACGACTGTGTGGGTTTACGTGGTCGTTTCGTTTGTTGTTGTTGTTGTGTACGACTGTGTGGGTTTACGTGGTCGTGCCGCCTGCTGTTGTTGTTGTTGTGTCTATAGAGAGAGAGAGAGCGGGGAGTGGACCCAGGCACTCACTCGCCGAGCGTCGCCACCTCCATCTCCAGCTGCGACTTCTCCTTGGAGAGCTTCCCGTTGCGCGACCGCCACGCCTCGGCAGACGCCAGCGTGTCCGCCAGCTGCGCCTCCTGCTCGAAAACACCGCACGCACACACACACACGCACACACACACACGCACACACACACACGCACACACACACACGCACACACACACACACGCACGCAGGCACACACACACACACGCACGCAGGCACACACACACACACCGTGCGTAGCCTTTAACCCTTTGCCGTGTTCCGGGACAACCGCAGGTCGCAGGTTGGGTCCCGTTACACCGCCCAATCTCGGCGTTCATTTTGTTCGGTGAGAAGTAGCAGCGCCGCTGTTTTTAAACGACGTCGTTACTCGCCACGGAGAACCACGGGGACACGACCGCCGCCACTCTGCGGTAGCTGGCAGCCAAACTGTGCCGCACGCCCTCCCGCATGGCCTTGTGGGAACCTCGGTATCGACACATTTATTTTATTTCAGCTTTTCTTCCGGACTGCCGCGGCGAGTGCCGTTGGCGAGCGGCACCTACGAAGGCCGGCACGGCGCACCTTTGAGGGGGTGGGTGGCCAGCATCACGCCCGGCCACCTTTGCCTCCCCCGGTGCTGACGTTGAAGGAGGCTGTGTGAGCGTCACTGCATATGCGGTTCTGTCTGCGCGAGCCTGTGTACGTGCGAGTCTGTCGCTCCTTGTGTCTTTCCGTCCTTCTGTGGGATTCTGTCCCTGTGTGTGTCTCCATTTCTCTCTCTTTCTGTGAGCCATCTCTGGTAGCTGCTGCACTGTGTGCGAGTCTGTTTGTATCTCCGAGTCTCTCGGAGTCCCTCTGTGTGTGTCTCTGTGTGTGTGTGTCTGTGTATCTCTCTGTGTGTGTCTCTCTGTGTGTCTCTCTCTGTTGCTCTGTCTGTGTCGCTCTCTCTGTGTCGCTCTCTCTGTGTCGCTCTCTCTGTGTCGCTCTCTCTCTCTGTGTCTCTCTCTCTGTGTCGCTCTCTCTGTGTCGCTCTCTCTGTGTCGCTCTCTCTGTGTCGCTCTCTCTCTGTGTGTCTCTCTCTCTGTCTGTCTCTCTCTCTGTCTGTCTCTCTCTCTGTCTGTCTGTCTCTCTCTCTGTCTGTCTGTCTCTCTCTGTGTGTCTCTCTCTCTGTGTGTCTCTCTCTCTCTGTCTGTCTCTCTGTCTGTCTCTCTCTCGTTGCCTTGTCCAGGAGCTCCGCGTGCAGCTGCTGCGCTGCGTCCTCCCCGCGCTGCGCCCGTGTCTTCAGCGCCCGCGTCGCCTTCTTCAGCGCCTCCTTGTCAGTCTCCCCTCGCTCGCGAGCCCGAGCCACCTCCTCGGCCAGCGCCTCCGCCTCCAGCCGCTGCTGCTCCAGCGCTCGCTCCAGCCCCTGCGCCGAGCAAAGGCAAAGGTCCCCCGTGTAGCCTCCCGCTCTCCTCGTGTAGCCTTAACATGCCGTTTGGGACGAGTGCTGTTACCGAGCAGCGCCTACGATGGCCGGCACGGCGCACGAGGGGGTGGGCGGCCAGCACCACGCCCGGCCGCCTTTGCCTCCCCAGTGGTGACGTTAACATGAGAACGCACGCACGTGTACACGCACAACCGCGCACACCCGCACACACCCGCGCACACGCACACCCGCGCACACGCACACCCGCGCACACACACACACCCGCGCACACCCGTATGTGTGTGGCGGCCCGGTTGTTGTCGGCCTCCTTGCTGCGCAGCTGTCCCTGGAGGTGAGCGCGCGTCACCTCCAGGCCCTTAGATGCGTCGGTGGCCGAGCGAGCCGAGTCCTGGCAACAACAACAACACGATTAGCACGGGTGGCTACGTACGGCGCGAGATAATTTCTGCATACATCCAGACTGCCCATAGACTAACGCTGCCCATAGACTCAACACTACCCATAGACTCAACACTGCCCATAGACTCAACACTGCCCATAGACTCAACACTGCCCATAGACTCAACACTGCCCATAGACTCAACACTGCCCATAGACTCAACACTACCCATAGACTCAACACTGCACCATAGACTCAACACCGCCCATAGACTAAACACTGCCCATAGACTCAACACTGCCCATAGACTAACACTGCCCATAGACTCAACACTGCCCATAGACTCAACACTGCCCATAGACTCAACACTGCCCATAGACTCAACACTGCCCACAGACTCAACACTGCCCACAGACTCAACACTGCCCACAGACTCAACACTGCCTATAGACTCAACACTGCCCATAGACTCAACACTGCCCATAGACTCAACACTGCCCATAGACTCAACACTGCCCATAGACTCAACACTGCCCACAGACTCAACACTGCCCATAGACTCAACACTGCCCACAGACTCAACACTGCCCACAGACTCAACACTGCCCACAGACTCAACACTGCCCATAGACTCAACACTGCCCATAGACTCAACACTGCCCACAGACTCAACACTGCCCACAGACTCAACACTGCCCATAGACTCAACACTACCCATAGACTCAACACTGCCCATAGACTCAACACTGCCCATAGACTCAACACTGCCCATAGACTCAACACTCCCCATACACTCAACACTGCCCATTAACTCAACACTGCCCATAGACTCAACACTGCCATAGACTCAACACTACCTATACACTCAACACTACACATAGACTCAACACTGCCCATAGACTCAACACTACCCATAGACTCAACACTACCCATAGACTCAACACTACCCACAGACTCAACACTACCCACAGACTCAACACTGCCCATAGACTCAACACTACCCATAGACTCAACACTACCCACAGACTCAACACTACCCACAGACTCAACACTATCCACAGACTCAACACTGCCCATAGACTCAACACTGCCCATAGACTCAACACTACCCATACACTCAACACTGCCATAGACTCAACACTACCCATTGACTCAACACTGCCCATAGACTCAACACTACCCACAGACTCAACACTACCCACAGACTCAACACTATCCATAGACTCAACACTGCCCATAGACTCAACACTGCCCATAGACTCAACACTGCCCATAGACTCAACACTACCCATACACTCAACACTGCCATAGACTCAACACTACCCATTGACTCAACACTGCCCATAGACTCAACACTACCCATTGACTCAACACTGCCCATAGACTCAACACTACCCATTGACTCAACACTGCCCATAGACTCAACACTGCCCATAGACTCAACACTGCCCATAGACTCAACACTGCCCATAGACTCAACACTGCCCATAGCCACCGCGGCGTCATTAAGAACGCAAGGCAGAGGACGAGGTCCCCGAGGACGAAGAAACATTTCCCTGGCAGGCGGTGACCGAGCGCACCGCGTCTCATTAAACCAGAGCCCGGCAAAGACCCAGATTAGGCACCCGGTCACTCGCTGTGTGGGGAGCGGCGTTGGGTGACAGACGGCCTCCATTTAATCTCCGTTTAATCTCGCCGGCAAGTCGCTACGAGCTACGGGTGTGATCATTATTAGTCGAATTGATGGTCTAAGCCCAGTCATCAATGACTTACACAGAGGCCCGTAGACTCGCACAGAGACCCGTAGACTCTCACAGAGACCTGTAGACTCATACAAAGACCCAAAGACTCACACAGAGACCCGTAAACTCACAGAGACCCATAGGCTCGCACAAAGACCCGCAGACTCATACAAAGACCCATAGACTCTCAGAGAGACCCATAAACTCACAGAGACCCATAGGCTCGCACAGAGACCTGTAGACTAATACAAAGACCCATAAACTCTCAGAAAGACCCGTAAACTCACAGAGACCCATAGGCTCGCACAGAAACCTGTAGACTCATACAAAGACCCAAAGACTCACACAGAGACCCGTAAACTCACAGAGACCCATAGGCTCGCACAAAGACCCGTAGGCTCTCACAGAGACCTGTAGACTCATACAGAGACCTGTAGACTCATACAAAGACCCATAGACTCTCAGAGAGACCCGTAAACTCAGAGACCCATAGACTCATACAGAGGGCCCACACACACCTTCTCCAACTGCAGCTGTACAGCTGCTTGGCTCAGCTCCTTCTCTAGCTCCTGCAGCCGCGTGGCGAGGCGCTGAGATGCAGACACGCGGACAGACACCGGCGGACGGGCGGAGGGATTAACGGATGGACACAGATACAGAGCCGGATTGAAAAACACGAGGACAAGCAGACAAACACGTGGACGGATGGACAGACAGGCAGACACAGACTAATTGACAGACAGACACAAGGACGTAAACAAAGACAAAGATCCCCCGTATAGCCCGGACAGACTGTTGGGGCAAGAGCTGTTAGCGAGCAGCTATGAAGGCCAGAACGGCACACAAGGCGGTGGGTGGCCAGCACTAAGCCCAGCCGCCTTTGTTTCCCCAGTGCGATGTTTTGACGCACCACACCAGGTACTCATTTGAGGCTGAGCCGACCTAGGGAAGGCCCAGGACCGGTTCAGATAATCGTCACCGATGTTGGCCGTGAGCGGGAATCGAACTCGGGTCGCTAGGTTTGTAGCGCAGCGTAGCGCTAATCGCTACACCACCGCTCCCCCCAGACAGACACATAGACACACACACAGGATGTCCACGTGTCTTGACACGCACAGGACGTACACGTGTCTTGACACGCTTGTTCACGTGCGCCCGGTGCGTTGCTCACCGCGTTGTCGCCCTCGGCCAGGGTGAGTTTCCGCAGCAGAACGTCGCGCTGCTCCATCACCTGCGTCACGTCCAGCTGCAAAACAGACGAAGGATCACCCCCCCCCCCCCCACCCTGTAGCCTCACGCAGACTGGTGGGGGCAAGTGCTGCGAGCGAGTAGCACCCGTGACGGTGGGTGGGCAGCACCACCAAGGCCGCCTTTGTCTCCCCAGTGCTGACGTTCAGTACAGGCCGCAGCGGCTACTCGTCTGTAGGCCGACTCGACTTAGGGGAGGGCCCAGGATCGGTTCCGATAATCGCCACTCGTGTTGGGGCCGTGAGCCGTAATGGAACTTACCGCTGCGCCGCCGCTCCCCTTCTATCCCCGCGTCTCACCCCCACGTGTCATCCCCACGTGTCATCCCCACGTGTCACCCCCACGTATCACCCCACTTTTCACCCCCACGTCTCACCCCAACGTCTCACCCCCACGTCTCACCCCCACGTGTCACCCCCACGTCTCACCCCGTGCGTGTCTCACCCCGTGTCTCCTCGCCCGTCTCACCCCGTGTCTCACCCCACGTCTCACCCCGTGTCTCACCGCCCGTCTCACCCCATGCGCGTCCCACCCCGCATCTCACTCCCCACGTCTCACCCCTGCCCCCCGGCGCCTCACCACCTCGCATCTCACCCCGTGTGAGTGTGCGGCGCGAGTCTCTCACCCCGCTGGCGTGCTCGTTGCGAAGCAGCCTGCGCAGCGCTCTGTTGGCGACCTCAAACTCCTCCAGCTTCTCCATGAGCAGCTCCTTGTGGCGCGTGATGCGGCTGACGTCCGAGCAGCTCAAAGCCTTCTCCTGCAGCCTCAACAAACGCGCCGGTCAGGGTAGAGCTCCTCCTCGACGCCCGCCCACGGGAAGGGAGTTTCACGCAACCCAATCTGTGCTGCGATCCACCAAGCCCTTGCTGCTGCCTCCACAGCGCCGGACCACAGGCCACGTACAGGAGCAGCGTAGCCACCACCACCACCACTGCACCCACCGCCACCACCACCGCCCGGCAGTAACGCGACGACGACACGGTGTGGTATATGGACGTGGCGTGGCCTGTGATCCGGCACCGTGAAGGCGAGGGGGGGGGGGGTTGGTGGATCGCCGCACACAGATGACGATGGTGTTGTTGTTGTTGTTGCGAAACTCCCTTCTGCCCGTGGGTGGGCGTCGAGGAGCCGTACCCGTGGCTCTGCCAGGAGAAGGCGGTGCTCAGCAAAAACGCGCAAAAGCCACACGGCGGTGACACGGCGGCGGTGATGTCGCGGCGGCGACGCGACGCTGCGCTGCTTACGTGTCTCATGCGCGACACAAAGTCCCGGAGGGCCGCCACCTGCTTGGCCGCCGACGCCCCCACGGCCTCGGCCTCCAGCAGCTGGCCCAGCAGGCGGTCGCGGCCATCGGCGCCGCCTGCAGGCAGCCTGCGCGCCGACATCGAGGACGCAAACGTCAACGCCACTCGCACCGAATCTCCAATAACCTTCACAACTGCTCATTGTGTTCACTTTGTCGTCCTTCCCCCGCGCAGTTGGCTACGTAACGGTGAGAGAGAAGATCAACTTGCACACATACTTCCCGTAGACTCAACACTGCCCATAGACTTAACACTGCACGTAGACTCAACACTGCCCGTAGACTCAACACTGCCCATAGACTTAACACTTCCCATCGACTCAACACTACCGATAGACTCAACACTGCCCGTAGACTCAACACTGCATGTAGACTCAACACTGCCCGTAGACTCAACACTGCATGTAGACTCAACACTGCCCGTAGACTCAACACTGCCCGTAGACTCAACACTGCCCGTAGATTCAACACTGCCCGTAGACTCAACACTGCCCATAGACTCAACACTACCCATAGACTCAACACTGCCCGTAGACTCAACACTACCCATAGACTAACACTGCACATAGACTCAACACTGCACATAGACTCAAGACTGCACATAGACTCAACACTACCTATAGACTCTACACTACCCATAGACTCAACACTGCCCATAGACTCAACACTACCCATAGACTCAACACTGCCCATAGACTCAACACTACCCATAGACTCAACACTGCCCATAGACTCAACACTGCCCATTGACTCAACACTGCCCATAGACTCAACACTACCCATAGACTCAACACTGCCCATAGACTCAACACTACCCATAGACTCAGCACTGTGGTGCTCGAGCGGCCAGGATAGAGTATGGTTTGTGGGACTGAGAGCAAATGAGTGGATGAGTGAGTGGGCAAATAAGTTGGTTTTCTTAGTAGTCCACAAGCAAACTGAATATAAACTATTTAAATGTTACCAGGTAAGGCGCATCGAGCTATAACAGCTCTTTTTCAGAGAAGACGGTGGATGACCTGGTCAGAAACGATAGCTCAACGAATTTGATTATCATCATGTGGAAATTTATAGCAGCCACATACTTGAAACTCGTGTTTCTAAATGTGGAGGCAAAAACCGGAGGACCCAGAGAAGAATCCACGCGACCACGGGAAGAGAAAACAACACGCCAACTCCAAATATACAGGAGGCGTCGTCAGGGTCGGGATCAAACCCACGACCTCATGTACACCAGGCGAGGGAGTCAACATCTCGCCACCATGGTGCCCCATAAGTGCCCACCCCTCCCTCCCCCCCCACATATCCCCGCCCTCCACCCTACCCCCTTAGGGCCTCCCCACCGGTTCCCCTGCGCACCGTGCCGAGTCCCCGTCGGGCCCGGCGTGCATCTCGAGGCTGCGTCGTCTCAGCCCCTCGCTCTGGTGGGGCGAGAGGTCGACGTCCCCCGGGGAGGAGGGCATGGCCGCCCCCCCGGCGCGGCGGCGCTGGCGCCACGCGGCCCCCTCGCTCACCGCCCGCTCTCGAGCGCGGTCCCGCCGCTCCTGGTCCACCTGGCGCACGGAGGGACGCGGAGACAGAGGGGGACACGAGAACGGAGAGACGGGGGGGGGGGGGTGGAGACGCACGGAGCGCGGAGACGGTTAAACCCACGGTTGTGTGTCTACTTATTCCATCGTCCCTTCAGGGCGACTAAAATTGGTACAACTTTGCACATTTGTCTTTTAGACACAGGTGGAGATACATGGAGCATGGAGAGCACACGGGGCGTGGGAACAGAGATTGGGCACAGCGGAAGCACACACAGAATGGTTACGGGACCGAGTGATGTGGCATCGACTCAGCGTCGTGGCCCAGCCAGTGATGTGGCATCGACTCAGCGACGTGACCCAGCCGGTGCTGTGGCATGGACTGGACTCAGCGTCGTGGCCTAACCAGTGGTGTGGCATGGACTGGACTCAGCGTCGTGACCTAACCAGTGCTGTGGCCGGGGCCTCCGTTGCGCCGGTCACCTGGGCCTGCAGGGAGCTGACCTGCGCCAGCAGTCCGTCCACCGTCTTCTCAAACGCCGTCGCGGCCTCCCCATCCCCCTCCTCCCCCTCCTCCTCCTCCTCCCTCTGGGCAGCGTCCGCAACGTCCGTGGTGGTGAGGTCGCTCACGTGCAGGCCGGGCCGCATGCCGCCCGCGTCGGCGCCCCGCAGGGGAGAGATCTCCAGACGGTGCGTGGGGCCCTGAGGCGAAGCGCCGAGGGACAGAGGATCCAAACTCCACCCCCCCCCCCACATTCGCTCACCGTGTGTGGCGATGGCGGTCGAGCTGGTGTTTAGTCAACATCTCGCCCCGTGGTGAAATGTTAACTACCTCGCCTGGTATATAGGAGGTCGTGGGTTCGATCCCGACCCTGACGCCTGATGTATATTTGGAGTTTGCATGTCTCATTTCACCGCGTCAACCGCGTTCCAAACTAAACCAAACTAATTTTTATTTTACCAGGCAAGGCCAACTGAGCTGCATAGCTCTTTTTCGGAAGTGACCTGGCCACAAATGGTAGCTCAAAGAAGTGGCTTATTATATAGCAGCCAAATACTCAAATCGCACGTTGATTAAAAACATGTACATACGTATGTACGTTGAACTTCTTTTGCATCGTATGTAGCCAACCGTGCTCATCGGAGGTGCAGTGTTGAGTCTATGGGTATTGTTGAGTCTTTGGGAAGTGTTGAGTCTATGGGAAGTGTTGAGTCGATGGGAAGTGTTGAGTCGATGGGCAGTGTTGAGTCTATGGGCAGTGTTGAGTCTATGGGTAGTGTTGAGTCAATGGGAAGTGTAGAGTCTATGGGCAGTGTTGCGTCTATGGGTATTGTTGAGTCTATGGGCAGTGTTGAGTCTATGTGCAGTGTTGAGTCTATTGGCAGTGGTGAGTCAATGGGAAGTGTTGAGTCTATGGGCAGTGTTGAATTTATGGGTAGTAATGAGTCTATGGGTAGTGTTGAGTCTATGGGCAGTGTTGAGTCTATGGGCAGTGTTGAGTCTATGGGTAGTGTTGAGTCTATGTGCAGTGTTGAGTCTATGGGCAGTGTTGAGTCTATGTGCAGTGTTGAGTCTATGGGTAGTGTTGAGTCTATGGGCAGTGTTGAGTCTATGGGCAGTGTTGAGTCTATGTGCAGTGTTGAGTCTATGAGCAGTGTGAGTCTATGGGCAGTGTTGAGTCTATGGGTAGTGTTGAGTCTATGGGCAGTGTTGAGTCTATGGGCAGTGTTGAGTCTATGGGTAGTGTTGAGTCTATGGGTATTGTTGAGTCTATGGGTATTGTTGAGTCTATGGGTAGTGTTGAGTCTATGGGTAGTGTTGAGTCTATGGGCAGTGTTGAGTCTATGGGTAGTGTTGAGTCTATGGGCAGTGTTGAGTCTATGGGTATTGTTGAGTCTATGGGTAGTGTTGAGTCTATGGGTATTGTTGAGTCTATGGGTAGTGTTGAGTCTATGGGTAGTGTTGAGTCTATGGGCAGTGTTGAGTCAATGGGAAGTGTAGAGTCTATGGGCAGTGTTGCGTCTATGGGTATTGTTGAGTCTATGGGCAGTGTTGAGTCTATGTGCAGTGTTGAGTCTATTGGCAGTGGTGAGTCAATGGGAAGTGTTGAGTCTATGGGCAGTGTTGAATTTATGGGTAGTAATGAGTCTATGGGTAGTGTTGAGTCTATGGGCAGTGTTGAGTCTATGGGCAGTGTTGAGTCTATGGGTAGTGTTGAGTCTATGGGCAGTGTTGAGTCTATGAGCAGTGTGAGTCTATGGGCAGTGTTGAGTCTATGGGTAGTGTTGAGTCTATGGGCAGTGTTGAGTCTATGGGCAGTGTTGAGTCTATGTGCAGTGTTGAGTCTATGGGTAGTGTTGAGTCTATGTGCAGTGTTGAGTCTATGTGCAGTGTTGAGTCTATGGGTAGTGTTGAGTCTATGTGCAGTGTTGAGTCTATGTGCAGTGTTGAGTCTATGGGCAGTGTTGAGTCTATGGGCAGTGTTGAGTCTATGGGTAGTGTTGAGTCTCTGGGGCAGTGTTGAGTCTATGGGCAGTGTTGAGTCTATGGGTAGTGTTGAGTCTATGTGCAGTGTTGAGTCTATGGGTAGGTTTAGTCGATGGGCAGCGAGTATGTACGTTGAACTTCTTTCGCACAGTACGTAGCCAACCGTGCTAATCGGAGGTGTGGGAGACTCACCTCCCAGGCGTAAGTCTTGTCCCGCACGGAGGTTTTTCCGGGTGGGATCCACGGCCCGCGGCTCCGTCCTCGCGGCGTCGACCGTGCGCTCGCCCGCTCGCCCCCCACGGTTCGTCCCTGCAATCGAGCAGCAAACCGCGCAACAACAACAAACGATACAGTAACTCGATAACAACAACAACACCACCACCACCACAACACGTGAGCCCGTAACAACAACACAACAGCACGACACATTACACGCAGAAAAAAAACGGCGTGACAATAAACTGCACCTCCGATGAGCACGGTTGGCTACGTACGGTGCGAAAGAAGTTCAACGTACACACATACATACTGCCCATAGACTCAACACTGTTGATGCGCGTGCCCCTACGCGGGAGCCGCCGCATGCCCCTCACCTCCGCGGAGCCGGCTCCCACGCGGGGCTTGCGCGTCTTCTTGAGGTGCACGTGCACCGGCGTGTCTTCGTCCACGTGCACGTGCACCGGCGGGGAGCCCGTGCGCATCTTCATGGTCCTGCCGCACTGCTGACAACAACCAACAACAACCAACATCATCATCATCATCATCGCCATCTTCACCATCCCGGGGAGCCCGTGTGCATCTTCATGGTCCTGCTGCACTGCTGACAACAACCAACAACAACCAACATCAACATCATCACCATCTTCACCATCCCGGGGATCCCGTGCGCATCTTCATGGCCCTGCCGCACTGCTGACAACAACCAACAACGACAACAACCAACATCATCATCATCGCCATCTTCACCATCCCGGGGAGCCCGTCCGCATCTTCATGTTGCCGCCGCACTGCCGACAACAACCAACAACAGCCAACACAACAACATAATCAACACCATCATTACCATCATTACCATCATCGTCATCATCACGGGGAGCCCGTGCGCATCTTCATGGTCCTGCCGCACTGCTGACAACAACCAACAACAACAACCAACACCAACAACATCATCACCATCTTCACCATCCCCGGGAGCCCGTGCGCATCTTCATGTTGCCGGCGCACTGCCGACAACAACCAACAACAACAACCAACATAACATCAGCATCACCATCTTCACCATCCCGGGGATCCCGTGCGCATCTTCATGGTCCTGCCGCACTGCCGACAACAACCAACAACAGCAAACACAACAACAACATAATCATCACCATCATTACCACCATCATCATCACCATCACGGGGAGCCCATGCGAATCTTTATGGTCCTGTCACACTGCAAACCACCACCAACAGCAACAACCAACACCAACAACATCACCATCATCACGGGGAGCCTGTGTACATTGCAAACCACCAACGGCAACCACCAACACAACACCATCACCGGGAGGGAGCCTCCACGCACTTCCGACAACAACACAAATTGCCACCGCAACCGACTGACCGCAAACATCACCGTGCCTTCACACTACCCCAGCGCACTGCTGCCGTTAGAACGACAACAACGCGATGACCACGACCTCAAAGACGTCAAGTGCAGATTTCGTCGCCCCTTTGATCAGACCCAGGCGTAGGTGCCACACGCACGCACGCCCACAGGCAAGCGGTCGGTCACCATCATGAACATCAAACCGTGGTCCATCCGTGAGGTTTTTTTTATTGTGGGTTAGGTCGCGTAGATATAAATGTGTCGTGAAACCGGCCATGTCGGGTGGTAGTGGGTTTCACGACACATTTATACGTACGCAATCTAACCCAAATATGGATAATGTTGGCCGTGAATGCCTATGTGTTAAACATGGCCAATCCACTGCTGGATGAAGGACTCCCTTAGCCGTGATTATCCGTCACAGTCCTACCGTGTGGTGAGTGAGCGAATGAGCAAATGAGCGTGATGCTGCTGTTACTGCGGGGAGCGGTGGTGCAGTGGTTAGCGCGATGCGCGATGCGCTAACCGCTCACAACTAACACCGGTGACGATTATCTGAACCGGTCATGGGCCTCCCCTAAGTCGACTCAGCCTCAAATGAGTACCTGGTGCGGTGTGTAAACAACATCAGCACTGGGGAGACAAAGGCGGCCGGGCGTTGTGCTGGTCACCCACCCCCTCGTGTGCCGGTGTTGGTTCTTTCGGTAAAGTCACGTAGAAGGGAAATAATAAAATAATAAAAATATAAAACAATACAAATTCTCACGACGTTTCGACTGCAACACAAGCAATCGTCATCAGCTGTGAAATCCACAAGACAATTTGAAAAAAGTCGTGAGAAATTTTATTGTTTTATATTTGTATTATTTTATTATTTCCCTTCTACGTGACTTTACCGAAAGAACCAAGAATATGAATCCCTGCAATCACGAAATCTTTAAATAAAAATGTAACCTATTCTTATTTTTCATCGCCCTTTGGATACTGGAAAAAACAGAAGGTTTCCCATGATAATCACTTCACAGACTGGGGGTGACCCCCATGGCAACGCGTCTCTAGCCACCTTCAAGCTGCAATAAAAATAACATATCCCCCCCAGCAACGCTAAGCCAGCTTCTATCTATCTGAATAACCACGGCACTGTAGTGGTCTAGATGTCTTGTGACCCCCCCCCCCCACACACACAGTTTCACCTGAAGACGGAAGCTTGTGTTGCCTCCGAAACGTCGTGATTTTTTTATTTTTTATTAATTTTAATTTCATTTTTTACCTACGTGACTTTACAGAATATATACACACACACACATCCTCCACATAACCCAATTGATTCCTCAAAAAACTTTGTATATTTATTTTTTCAAATTTTCTTGCTGTGGATTTCACACCCGATGATGATTGCTTGTGTTGCAATCGAAACGTCGTGAGAATTTTTATTGTTTTATATTTTTAATATTTTATTATTTCCCTTCTACGTGACTTTACCGAAAGAAACAAGAATATGAATCCCTGCAGTCACGAAAGCTTTAAATAAAAAAATATATTTAAAAGTTTATTGAAAAAAGGGGAACACGTTAATGGGGTCGGTTAATATTGTGAAATCACAAGACATCTGGACCATCCTGTACAGTAACAACAAAGGAGTTCACTGCATCGATTTGTATCCATCGATGGTTATGACGACAGATTGTGCTGCTGCTGATGATGCAGCAATGATGATAGCAACTTAACACGATTTTGAAATGATGTTCGACGTTTCGCTTCGTAAGCTGGAAGCCCTTTTCAGCAACTGAATTAATGATTGTTTTTGATGAGGACGATACTAATGATAGTGGTGCTGACGAGACCGCGATGATGTTGATGAAGACGACGATGATTACCACACCACAACAAACACCCTAGAACGTGGCAGAAATTATGATAGCAACCTGACACGATTTCAAAATGATGTTCGACGTTTCGCATCGCAAGCTGGAAGCCCGTTTCAGCAACTGAATTAACGATTGCTTTTGATGAGGCCGATACTAATGATAGTGGTGGTGGTGCTGACGAGACCGCGATGATGTTGATGAAGAAGACGACGACGATGATTACCACACCACAACAAACACCTCAGAACGTGTTAACCCCGCCGCTCTTCCATCAGCAGTAGCGGAAGCGAGACATTGCAGGCGCTTCGAACAATTACAATCCACAACGCGGCCGTTGCAACTTCCACGTGCGGTACATCCCACGCAACAGCCAAAACAATATCACCGACCGCGACAAACTGGTACCGTATTTAACCGACCCCGGTGGCGGCGGTGATGATGATGATGGGTCGCGCGCCGTCCGCCCGCTGCGCCAACGCCGCCGCCGTCTCGCGGCCTCCAAAACATCGGCACGGCCGGGCCCTCCTTGCGCCGCTCCCATTGGTCAATTCAAACTCGACGTTGGCTCGAGCTCGGCCGCTGATTGGTTGAATATTCCCGGCGGCCGCGCCCCGTTGCGATCAGCTGGAGTCGAGCCCCTCCCCCCGCGCGCCCGCCCAACTGACACCGTTGCCGTGGAGACGGTGGAAGAGGTGGGGGGGGAGACGCGCGTTGCTACGGTAACAGACGCGCGTTGCCATAGGGACAGCCGCGCGGCCTCTTGGCGGGAACTTACAGCGGCATTTAAACAAGTAAACCCGTAAAAACAAAGTTTTTCACTCTAAATCCTTTATATGCGTGGCGGCTCGAGTTCTCTCGTCCTCTGGCTTGAGATGGCTGCCACCTATGGGTCAGATGATTGTCTGCCAGTATTAAGCAATTGGTAATTAAATATTTAATTAGTTTTCCCTAAACAGTGTAAAATTTTGGAAAAGAAATTTCACGAAAATTAATTGTCACGCACAACGAGTCTGTGTGGAAAATGTCAGCTCGATTGGATCACGGGAAGTGGGTTAAAAAACGAGCGAAAGATTTGCACGGTCCTAAGTAAGCAAGCAAGCAAGCACGCGAACTTAATATAAAGGATTTAAAAACAATTTGACCCGCAGCTCCCCTCAGAAAATGAATTTACCTCATGACAAAAAAAATAAGTACTAATAGGGGTTTTCCCCTTTTTTCTGGCAACAAAACTGACACCTTTTGCAAGGAATCATGCTTACATTAACCACAATACTTGCAGTCGAATCCAAACAAAAACACGACTCTGATAATTTATGCATTGTCTTTGAAACTGATTGGTCCACACCAGAGACAGCTTTCTTTAGAGCCTAGTCTCATATGGTGTTCGACCAGATGACGCCAAAAGGCGCAAAAATAAAGCTCAACGCGTGTGTCGATACTCGTAACAATGTCATACTCTTTGGTTCTTTCGGTAAAGTCACGTAGTTAGAAATAAAATAAGACAAATCACGACGTTTCGATTGCAACACAAGCAATCTTCATCGGGTGTGACAACCACAGCAAGAAATAATTGCTGAAGTAGGCTGTTTTGTTTTATTTAATTTCTAACTATGTGACTTTACCGAAAGAACCAAAGAGTATGGATTCCTGGGGTCAGGGCGAGTTATAAACAACAAACAACACACACACACACTATGAGACCTTTACCAGTGACAAAATATAGTAATAGGGTTTTACCCTTTCAACTGGTACAAAAACTGACACCTTTATACAAGGATCATGTTTGCAATAACCACAACACAAGCAGTCAAAATGCAAACAAAAATAAACAACTCTGATAAGATTATCAGATTATCAACTCTGATAAGATTATCAACTCTGATAAGATTATCAGAGTTGTTTCTTTTTGTTTGCATTTTGACTGCTTGTGTTGTGGTTATTGCAAACATGATCCCTTGTATAAAGGTGTCAGTTTTTGTACCAGTTGAAAGGGTAAAAACCTATTACAACACACACACAACAAAAACAACAGTCCCAGACCACAGCAAGACAACACCACAGATCAGCAGCAATGTCACATTAACATTAAATTATCGATAAGCAGACAATGTGCCCTTCGTAGATCCGCACTCTCCACATTAAACATAACACTTTCTATACGATATTAAGTGGAGATAGATATGAACATCATCACGTGCGTGGCACCACAGTATCAAGTGCAGTTGTTTGTGGTCGTATTTGTAATGAGTTTGTTGATGGCTGAACGCGTGTCAAAAAGGGCTTCACAGCTCATAGGATTCTGATTTGGGGTCAATGAAAGCCTAAACTTTTATATTTACAGCCCTTTGCCAATCCGCGGTGGGACGGAGTCGACAAAAATGCACTAATTCATTGCGATTTTGACTTCAGTTTATTCGGAACCCCGGGGTTCATGTGGCCAATTAGATTTGAACGCGACAACGTTACGATTGATTAATTATCGTAACGATGTTTTGCGTTTAATCCGTTCCGTGATCAATTGCCGTGTCAAGAGCGTTGTGTCAACTGCAGAAATCATAATAAAATCCCTCATTCGCTCATCCGCTCACGCATTTAAACACATTCCTGCGGAGGGAGCTGGTAGGAACGTCGGGTTGCTCGGTCAATGGCCTGCAGGGTCAACGGCGGCGTGGTGTATTCCGCAAATATGGCCGACTGTGAGGGCGGGCACAAGCCGGCGTGAGTAGGTTAAACGTTGAGTTTTATAAGAACACCACGGGGTGACCAGCCCTTCCCCACCCAGCCCCTCCCCACCCAGCCCCACCCCCCACCCAGCCCCTCCCTACCCAGTTTCTCCCATCCCCACCCAGTTTCTCCCATCCCCACCCAGCCCCTCCCCACCCAGCCCCACCCTTCCCACCCAGCCCCTCCCTCCCCAGCCAGCCCCTCCCTGCACGATGGACGGACAGACACAATAATCCCCTGTGGGCTGGTGTAACCAGGTTTCTACCAGTACCACTCGCTTGTCTTTAGTTTATTGTCCTTCCCCCCGCGCCTCCGATTAGCATGGTTGTCTACGTATGGTGGGGAAGAAGTTGAACATACATACACCGACAAACTTACCCAACCTCTCACTCAACATTCACCCTCTTCCCTCCCAACGTTCTCCCATCGCACCTGGCGGACGTACCTTACCTCCCCTCCTCCTCCTCATCATGGTCACAAACGAACACTCGTAATCGGTCGGTAAAGTCTCCGTATCATTTTATTTAGCGAACGAGTCTGCAGGCCGCTTCTACAAGTGACAACGACAGGGGCTGCCCCCCAGGCACACCCGGTAACAACACAGCCGGCATGCACGGAAAGCCGTCACTACCGCCGCACGCGTGCCGGGGCTTCACGCAACCTCCGTGGGCTGCCTTGAAGCATTAGCGTTTGACTGGTGGAGTGCACGCCACGACCCCTTCAAAATGTTTAGGCAAGTCTAAAAATGTTGGTGCAAACGTGGGTGGTAGTTGAGCGATGGGCAGCCCTTCCTGCTGCCCACACGGGGTTGAGAGAAAGGGCCGACCGTGTCCGTCCGGTGCTCGCCAAGCCGCATTGGCTTCCGGTTGCCGAACAAATACAGCGGTGTCATTATAAGGTCGCGCTAGTTACACACAAAGTGTTTGCTGCAAATGAACCACAATTCCTTGGCTGATCTCGTCACAGAGCTATAGAACATCGTCACGCGACACTCCGGCCGCCCTCGCAGCGGCGGCTTTTATCCGAACCCTTTTCCCGTTCACCTGAGAATCTTGGAACGCACGAGTGGTTCGGCGTTAATTTTATTTAGAGAGGCGTAGCGCCGTCTTGGTTCTTTCGGTAAAGTCACGTAGAAGGGAAATAATAAAATTAAAACATAATAAAATACAATTCTCACGATGTTTCTGCCACAACGCAAGCAGCCGTCTTCAGGTGAAGAACAGGGCTGTCGGAAAGACAGCGTGTCATTCAGACGCAGTCACGAAAGCTTTAAATCGAAATTTAGGCGTAGCGCCGTCGCACTCACCGCCGCAGAGAACCGTAGCGACACGACCGCCGCACTCTACAACAGCTGGCGCCAAAATGTGCCACACGCCTCTTCCCGGCGTGGCCTTGCGGGAGCCTCGATACCTATAAAGTTATTTTATTTTAGCTTTCTTCCGGTACCGTTCCTGTGACGTACGCATACGTCACCGGAATGGGAAAGGGTAAACGAGCTCTCTCGCGCGCCCTCGGGATCGAGGCCATGGAGGCGAGCGGCTCTTGGATTGCAGACGGCCGTGGAAACGCAGCAGGAGAAGCGGCGGCGGCGGCTGCGGTGGCAGCGGCGTGGGGCGCCGCACGTCACGTGCGTCACGCGCGTCCCCGCTGCTGCCCGATGGCCTGCTGCGTGCGCTCGTACCACGGCCCCAGCTTCGTGTTGGCCATGACGTCGTCAAACGCCTGCAGGCCCTCCATGACGCGCAGAACGCCGAACACGGCCTGGAGCGGGGGCGGCGCACGGGGATGGACGGGGACGCACGGGGAAGTACAGGGATGGACGGGGACGCACGGGGACATACGGGGATACATGAGACACATGGAGATGCAGAGGCATAAATGGGGGAGATGCACAAGATAAGTTTAGTGTAGGTCTAGGATGGGTTTAGGAGATGTTTAGGATGTGTCAGGAAGGGTGTACGCTGCTGTTTAGGGTGGGTTTATGATTGCTTTCGGTTGGGGCTTCGGCTTGGTTCAGGATTAGGTTTAAAGCTGAGGTTGAGGATTGAGTTCATGTTGGGTTTAGGATGAGGTACATGCCGGGTTCATGACGGTTTTGTTGAAGTTGGGTTTTTGAGCGAGGCTCGGAGTAGGATGGGGCGTGAGGGCCAGGCCAGGTTTATGACGGTGTTGTTGAATTTCGATTTAAAGCTTTCGTGACTGCAGGGTTTCATCTTCTTGGTTCTTTCGGTAAAGGCACGTAGAAGGGAAATAATAAAAATAAAACATAATAAAATAATATAATAAAATCATATAATTTTTATTTTATTATTTCCCTTCTACGTGACTTTACCGAAAGAACCAGGAAGGTGTTGTTGAAGTTGGGTTTTAGACCGAGGCTCAGCATGTGACGAGGGTGCGAGGCGCAGGCTTGGGGAAGGGGGGGGGGTGTCGCTGACCAGGTCGGCGAGGTTGGGGCTCTGTCCACCCATGAAGGGGCGCTCCTTCCCCAGGGCGCGCACCCACTCGTTGGCGGCCTGGTACAAGTCCTGGCGCACGTCGTCCTGCATGTGGTGCCTGTAACGCACGGTGGGGTGGGAGCGGTGGGAGCGGGGGGTGGAGGGGGAGGGGGTAGGGGTGGCGCCGGCAGTTCCGGTGGAGCAGAGGTTACCCTCACAGCCTCACAGCGTGAAGCCCCTGGGTTTGACACCCCGACCCGCGCGCTCTCTCCGCGTGGTGTTGATGTGTTCCTCGGCTTCAACCACTCCTCCTCCCACTTCCCCGGCCTTTTCCAACTCCCTCCTTCCGTGATTTAAGGTCTCGCTCCCTCTTGCGAGTGCGGGTAGCGAACCAAACGCACGAGTAGCCATCGTATTTACGATGTGAGCTGCGAACCCTGCGCTTA